CGAGAATGCAAGGAAATTTTGAGTCGAAGGCTTAGAAAACTTCTCTGGTGCAGAAAAACCATAGAAGGAAATTTTCTCCTTAAAGCAGCAGTTCAGGGAGGGTCCGAAAATTTCAATGCCACTACTACTGAGGGATACACGAGCCCTAGTGAAGAACATATGCAGTGGAAATAATAAACGAACTTACCTCAGAAACTCAAAAACAGGGTGGAAAGTCCCTCAAACATGGGTGTTCTTGGGGATTTCCCCAATCCCGCCCCCTTGCCGGCCGTCATTGGACGCGTCGGCAATCGTGCTCGTTTTGGGACCACAGGGAAAATTGATTGAAAAATGGAGCGCGTTTACAGCGGGCACGTTCAGACAACTCGTCCAACGTGCGTCTTTATCCATTGCTGAGCGGCAGAGGGAGAGTACCTGTCTAAGACCCTCCCCGACGTTTTTTTCCAGTTTTTCATACATTAATCGTCTGGTTTTCATCTACAACTTCATTATTGGTGGTTTTTTCCCGCGAAACCGTTCCTGAACTGTTGCTTTAATGGAAGCGTCAGATATACAGCAGTACTCATAAAATTTTTCGGCCTAAGTACCTTGTTAATATCGTTCTTTTCTGCTGGAACAAGTCAGTTTCAATTTTAACATCGCGAGTGTTGCGTTTGAGAGTATGACTTCCACTTCGTAGTAAGGAGGACCGATTAGCAACCGCAAAATGTGCAAGTTTTATGGCTCAAAAACGCGAAACAACTACGCTTGGGGCAGATTTAGCTCAACGAGTACTCTGCTAACTGGAAATGAATGCATGGCTCAACCACGAACAAGACAAGAACCACAGCATGTGACATTAAGTGCGGATATCTCACTTCTGTCGTTTTTCTAGTACATACGCTGAAATCACCTGAAAAATACGGGTCTCAGGCACTATTGCACTATTACAACCCCAGTAGGGGTGAGATGGGTCAAAAAAATTTTCGCTGAAACTTCTCCTATGGGGGTTATCGAGGGTCCTGATCACGAATATGATATCCATTTTTGGCGCTGGCGCCAAATTGGCGCCAGGGCGCCACGACTGATTCTCACCAAATTCGCTGTAAACTTCTGTATAGGGGTTATTTGGGGCCCTGATTACGAATATGACATTCGTTTTTGTTGTTGGCGCTATTTGGCGCCTATTTCCTGCTCGTCTGCGCCCTCGCACTAATTAGATCGCAATCAGGACTAAGCCTTTGGAAACGGAGGGCTCCTGTGTGGGTCGACGGACTCACGAACTACTTGAACTCAGCCCTTTAAACCTCCTCTGCGCTCTCTCGCGGGTCCCTCTCCTCTCCAAGGCTTAGTCCTAGGGCATTCACCCGTTCTCTAATCGTCTGTGCTCTAGCCATCGCGGCAGGACCATTGAGGAAAAATCAAGTAGTCCGTAAACCCTCCTGTGCGTAAGCCACTCACTCCATGATCTATCACACTTCTCACCGCAATCACTCCCTTTTCCTTTCTTTCCTTTTTCCAGGTTCAGTCGTAGGCGCTGTAAGTGAGAGTTCAGGAGAGCAAAAATATGCGCTAAAACAGCGCCAACGACAAAAACGAATGTCATATTCGTAATCAGGGCCTCAAATAACCCCTATATACAAGTTTACAGCGAATTTGGTGAGATTCAGTCGTGGCGCCAAATGGCGCCAGCGCCAAAAATGGATCTCATATTCGTGATCAGGACCCTCGATAACCCCATAGAGAAGTTTCAGCGAAAAATTTTTGACCCATTTCACCCCTGGGATTGTAATAGTGCAAAAAAAGCCGGGTCTCACTCAGTGCTCTCGGCAACTCTGTCAGCAAACTACTCAGAACTCCTCTTTATTTTTCAAAGCAATAGCCTTCCACTCTGTTATGTAATATTTGAAGTGTGGATCCGAAATACTGTTCATAGTAGTCAACATACCTTCACAATCCAAAATCCTTCATTGCTGACATCCAGAAATTTTTCATTAAGGTCAATTACAACTGTTAATGACCCAGCTGACAAGCAACAAGGTAGGAAAGCAAGCAAAAATAGCGAACGCCAATACATTAGCTCTGAAATTATCAATACAATACCATCTTTTACCGATCAATGGCACGCAAGAACTCGTTGAAAACTGTCATAGGTCCATATGAACAGATGTTACCTGATTCTAGAAGAGGTTCGCCGATGTGAAACTAATGCAGGGTCATGAAGACTGCCATAATGAACAACAAAGTATGGAAGTAAATTATTTGCGGGACTGCCGTTATTTTCTACACTGGCGACACGCACAAGTACGTGCTGCTTGTGTGATTGCGTAAGTATCTGATTACCGTAATAATGCTAGTGTCATCCTTGACGGACACGCGACATTTAGCCGCAACAGCATTATTTACGTAATGTTAACAACTTGCGACGGCAAAAAATTGAAGAATTTGAAAGTAATGGAAAGGTGTAGATGGGGAGAATCTGGAATTAAGGGGATCGTCGATTTTAGAAATGCCAATTGACCTGCCTGTCCTGCTTTAGCAGCTGCTAGCTCTCTCTATTCTACGACGTCATATAAAACGTATTCTCTGCAGATGCACACAGCCGCCTCCCTTACGCTCAATTCAAATTCTTTGAAGCGAAATAATTTTCCGAACTCTTTCCTCCCTGAGGGTCGTTGATGGCATCCTTCAGACATCAGATCGGCTGTTGTTTTTTGCTCAACATACGTTTTTTTTTCAAATTGGTTTTGGCGTACTCAGCTATTACATCTCCGAAACCTCAAAATTTTATTTTTCCGAAATTCCTGCCATAGGGGTAGTTCAATGCTATAGTTATGAAAATAACATTCATTTC